TCATCCCCACCGTTCCCCTTGACTGAATCTCTTACCCAACCGGTGCTAACAGCAGAACCATCCCTATCTTCAAGAGTTTTGCAACCCCGTGACAAATTCCTTATATTTGCATCTGATGGACTTTGGGAACACCTGACAAATCAGCAAGCAGTCGAGATTGTTCATAGGAATCCACGAAATGTATGCTTTTTGTACTTGTCCTTTCTTCCATTTTTTTCATCTATTATCTGTCCTTGTGAAAAGGTTCTAACTTTATTCTTATGCTATATGCTGTGCATTTGTTCAAAAAACAAACTCCAGGGAATTGCAAGAAAACTTGTTAAGGCTGCTCTAAAGGTGGCAGCTCATAAAAGGAATGTGGAATATAAGGAGCTTCTGAAGATTGAGAAAGGGATCAGACGGCCTTATCATGATGATATCACTGTGATTGTTGTCTTCATAGATCATGATTTGCTTGAGCATATAGTTAATGAACCAGAGTTTCATTGGCTACACTGAACTATCAAATTTTAATGGGTATCCAGGGGTTTATGTGATACAAGGATTATTCTTTCTAGAACTATCAAAGAACTTGATTGCCTCTGCCTTATTTTGGTTCAAAAGAAAAATAAGAATCTAACATTACATTTGTACACAGTTTTGCAACATCCAATTGTTGTTCATTTTGAGCATTTCTTGGCACCTATCAAGGTTCTCCTCCCCACTCTTGGTTTAAATATTTAATGATATTTTCAATTAAAGTTAATAGGCTGAAGAATGATTTAACTCTAATCACTAAAAGTTAATAGCATTGAAAGAAATATTAGGAACACTCTACTTGCAGTATAGGATCAAGCATGATCCACTTCCAACACTAGGTTTCATTACATTTAAAAAATGATAAAAGAAAAGCAGGTGGAAGCTAATTATAAAAAATAAAAATGCACTTATTTCATTTAGGTTTAAATACCTTTTTGATTCTTATAATTTCATTTACTTTTCTTTCTAGTTTTTATAGTTAAAAGTGTTCCCTTTTAGTTCTTAATGTTTATTTTCTATTTTATTAATGACGTTTGTGTTGTGATTACGTGACAAAAATCACTTTAATGTATATTTTTAACCAATTGCAATTCTCACCTTACTTTAGGAATGTATGAAAATGAAGATAAAGAAATGTTAAAAGAAGTGGAAATAGAACCAAATGTCCAAAGGCAAGAGGTAGAATACAAAGTTCAACATGGAATTCTGGAAAACTACAGTTCTTTGAGCAAATTTTCCACTTTTATTACAGGAATTGCTGCTTGCAGAAAAATCCAAATCTCCACATGGTCCAAAAATCATTGCTCTTTTGCAAAAGCCAATCTCGCAATTCCAAGATAAATGCAAACCTTTATTTTCTCACCACCAATTTTTATTCCTTATCTGGTAATTGATAATCATATTAGACCTTTATCTCTCTCAATGTTCACTCTTTTGAGTTGTCACCAGTAACTATAGAGTCTTGCGGTCTATACTTGTACCCCTTTGAAACGAACAAATATGCAAAGAAGTTGATCAAGATTAATATGGCAAGGAACAAGTAGAATAGATTCAAGTTGTTTGTTAATATTGT